CTCCACAACTAGACTGAAGAACAAAAGGAGAGCAACTTGTCTGTTCCCCTTCCCCCAACCCCCCAATAAAAAAATCTTAAAAAAAAAAAGAAATATATAAGGAAGGGAAGGCCCCACAATACCAATCTCCAGTGAGTATTACTGTTAACGTTTCAGTGTTAGGAAGATGGTAAAGAGAACACATCCACAGTACCAAAGGTACTCTAGCTCTCCCTTACCTAGCACCCTATTTCCTCTGCCAGATGGTTTTTTGAGAGTGCATAGAGAGTATGTACATAGAGATGACTTTCAACTGCATTTGAAACCATATGGCAGGGCAGCCAGTTAGCTCAGTTGGTTAGAGCGCTGTGCTCATAACACCAAAGTTGCCGGTTCGATCCCAACATGGGCCACTGAGCTGTGCCTTCCACAACTAGATTGAAACAACTACTTGACTTGGAGCTGATGGGTCCTGGGAAAACACACTGTTCCCCAATTTAAAAAAAACAACAAAAAACCATATGGCTATACTCAAGGTTTTTAAAATAATTTTTTATTTTTCAATTATAGTTGATATACATGGCTGTACTCTTATTTAATCCATCCCACATTAGAGTACCTTCCCAAAGACATTCCCCATTCGTAATGAGAAGATTAAAAAGTTTTGATTAATCTCACCACATAAACTAGGCTTTATGGTGAAAATGGCCAAATATCTACTTGTAAGTAAAATCTGTACATATTTAAAAGCACATAAAATATTAATTTAGATATACTGCTTTTGCTCAACCTTTCAAGATGCAATTTTATTTAAATTCTTCAACATTATTTCTGCACCATAGACTCATCTTTCTTGCAAATTAATGTGACACAGCACCTCTCTAGTTCATGTATGAAAAGCTAAGCCAAGACCATGTATTCATCCTTGTAATTAGGATTTTTTTTTCATTTGTCACATAAGAGTATATGATTTCTACAAGATGACTAGTTTTTTTTAATCATGGAGAACTTCAAACATTGGGGATGGAAAGGGGGTGCTGTAGTAAATCATAAATTCCTAACTGAGAACAGCATGGTGCATGGTCAAGCCCCAGGCACCTAACAAGAACGTATTAAGAGCCAGCCCTGTCCATTGTTTCTGTGCATCTAAGTTAACACACCTTGGAGATGCCAGGAGTAACCCCCCTGGAAGGCATAACCACCCTCAAGAGAGCACAGAATCTTAACTATTTTGTAATCCAATCCCTGCCTTGCTTCTCCCACCTCCATGTAATCTTTCTTAAGGTTCCCCCTTAATTTCAAATGCAGAAAAGAAACTGCAAACTATCTGGTCTCCACAGCATTTGAGATCTCAGCAATGTCGTCAGTTTTGACTCACACTCAAAAATTCTCTACAAGTTTGGACGTTTCTTATGTCGACATCATACCGAACAGAGAGGGTGGGGAACTGTTCCAGATTAAAGGAGACTCTAGACATGACAACTAAATAAAATATGGGATCCTGGGCCGAACCAAATAAAGAAGTGCTATAAAAGGACATTTTTGGGGACAATTGACAAAACAAATATGGACTTGATTATGCTAAAATATTGTCTCAATGTTAAATTTTCTGAATTTGATAATTATATAAGGAGAATATCCTTATTCTCAGGAAATAATACACTATTTTGTAATGTATTTCCAAATGGTTTAATTTAAAAAAACACACAATATAAGTGTGTGTATGTGTAAGAGAGAGAGAGAGAGAGAGAGAGAGAGAGAGAGAGAGAGAGACAGGAGAACAGAGACAGGTAAAAGCAAATGGGACAAATGTTGAAAATTAATGACTTGATAAACGGTATAAGGGGGTTCTTTGTACTTATTCTTGGAAATTTCTGTAAGTATGAAATTATTTTAAAAGAAAATGTTTTAAGAGGACACGGATTCTGAGCTCCTGTGTAGACCAGGCAGGTGGACTGGGCAGTGGACTCTCCAGATGCCTGGGTGGTCCGGGATGAACATGAGGGGTGCTCCAGAGAAATATCCAGACTAGTGACAGCACCTTATTCCAAGCATCCAAATGGCAGTCAAAGGGACAGCTATAGAAGAGAAGTCCCAGTGGGGGCGGTGACCTGAGGGAAGCAAGAGGCGGGAGGGCAGAATGTCAGCACGCAGGGACAGGGACACGATCTGGGAGCAGAGCCACAGGGAGGACTAGAGAGATAAGGCAAAACTCCTCTGCTGGTGTCCAGAATGTCACTGACGACTTTGGTGAACAAAGGCTGCCCACAGGGGTGGGGGCGGAGGAACATCAGGGAGCGAGGCAGTAACAGCCTCTATATGACTGTGACCTGGCTGTAGGGTTGGGAGTGGGGATTACCTAGAGAATTCTAAGCTCTTAAGACCTCAGCCACTCTGATTTCCAAGTGATGATGCCTGAAAGTCGTGTAAAGCCCAGTCTAGGGCTCCCTGCCTGCACACTCCCAGGAGAGAGAGCTCACCCTTTCCAGGAGGCAGCCCCTTCCAGTGATGGACACAGCCGGTCAGCTCTTCAGCAGGCAAATCGCCCAGCCTAGGGCCTCCACCCACAGGCCTCCTTTGTTGTCTCATTCCGCCGGGCTGGGCTTGCTGCCGCGTCTGCTGCCATAGTCAGGTTACCCCACCAGATGGCGATGGTGCCCCAGGTTGGCCTTCTCAATTATCGGCCTGCCCGCTTTTCTTCCCCTGGAACAGTAACTGGGAGGAGCTGGGGGTTCTGTAGGAGCCTCCCACCCGACCCTGGCTTTCAGCTGCATTTAAGGGCATCCTGCAGCTGTAGCTGTTCCTTGTTCAGGCTGCCGTTCCCAATGGCCTGGTCCAAGCATGTGCTTCATGGCCCACAAAGCAGGCACCAAAAGGGGAAACAAAAAGTGGAGTCTGGGGGGTGGATTATCAGTGTATAGTTTTAATAAATACATCAAAGTAGTCACCATGGAAAAACATCAGATCTTTTTTTTTTTGGTTGTCTTTATAGTTCATTCATGGTTTATTTTGGATGACACAGGGTGGCATCCATCTCAATCTTTTCAGTACCTACCCTCTTCCCCCTTGGATGGTCCTGACCAATCGCTAGATTCCTTTTTTTTTTTTTTTCCTGTTGCTAGACTCTAATCAAGAAGTAAGAAGGCCTATGTTTCATTTCTGGCTCTGCCACTACCTAGCTGTGTAACTGAGGAAAACGCATAAATGCTCCTTTTATTAAAAAAATGGATTTTTGGGCCGGCCGAGTGGCGCGATGGTTAAGAACTGGCTTGGGACGCCAGAGGGCCCCGGTTCGGATCCCACATATGAGGGCCAGTGACACTGCCCTCCACAGCTGAGATGCTGAACAACAGCTCAACCTGGAGCTGGGCTGCCGTGAGTCGCTGGCGACGGCGTAGGCTGCAGCCCCTGTGACAGTGGGTTGCCATGGGCTAC